AAAATATTTTTATATAAGCTTTTTTCTATTAATTTTTTTTTAACTTTTTAAACTTTTTTGTGAAAAACTAAGACATAAATAAACACACACATTAGCCGAGACCTACACAGGGTCAGGATCATCAATATCACTGTCTCCACCACCTCATCTTGTTCCACTGGAAGGTCTTCAGGGGCAATTACACACACGGAGCTGTCATCTCCTATTATAACAGTGCCTCCTCCTGGATGCCTCCTGAAGGACCTGCTTGACGCTGTTTCATAGTCAACTTTTTTTTTTTTTTTTTTTAAAATAAGTGGAAGGAATATCCTCCAAAATAACGATAAAAAGTTATAGTAAATTCAGGACCAGGCACGGTGGCTCACGCCTATAATCCCAGCACTTTGGGAGGCCAAGGCGGGTGGATCACCTGAGGTCAGGAGTTTGAGACCAGCCTGGCCAACATGGTGAAACCCCACCTCTACTAATAAATACAAAAATTAGCTGGGAGTGGTGGCGCATGCCTATAGTTCCAGCTACTTTGGAGGCTGAGGCAAGAGAATCGCTTGAGCCCGGGAGGCAGAGGTGACAGTGAGCCAAGATCGTGCCACTGCACTCCAGACTAGGTGACAGAGCAAGACTCCATCTCGAAAAAAAAGTTATAATAAATACATAAACCAGGAACATAGTTGTTTATCATTATCAGGTATAAGCTACTGTACATAATTGTATGTGCTGTATTTTTATATGACTAGCAGCACTGTAGCTTGTTTGTATCGGCATCGCCAGAAGCGCGTGAGAAATGTGTTGTGCTGTGATGTTAAGGTAGCTATTATCTCACTAGGCAGTAGGAAGTTTTCAGCTCCATTATGCTCTTCGGGGACCACTGTTGTGTCTGCAGTCCGTCATTGACTGAAATGTTATGTGGCACAGGACTGTTTCCTATATATATCCTGGTTACAGTGGTGGAGGGGATGATTACATATATTGGGGGGAACTGACTCTAACACATGCTTGTATGGAAAGAAAACATCTATGGCTTCTGTGTCCAGTGTCACTGCTTGAACTTAAGTGTGTCTGTTGGTGGGGGCATCTCCCTTCCCACTCCATTGCTTGGTCTTCTGCTACGAGGAGAATCCAGGGTTCAGCTTCTCCTGGTCAGGAAAAGGGCTCAAGGGCTCTGTGATGATGGGCTTGGGAACTGAAGGACCCACAAAAAGAGGCAAGGAGTCCACTGTCCTCCCGGGGAGCACTGGAGCCTGGGAATGGGTGCGTGTTGACAGGAAAACACCATCACTAGCAGAGAACCTCCTCACAGCCGTCAAGGGGATCTCAGAGGGTCCTGCTTCTTATATTCATCTCCTTGGATGAAACCTCACTGGGCTGCAGGCATCTCACCTCTGCATAGATGACAGAAGTGTCCTGTGAAAGAGTTGGCTCAGGATGAGGAGGCAGATGTAAGACAGAGGGTGAGAAAGGAACAGGGATCCCAGCTCACCCTTCTTCCCGTGGTGAACTCAGCAGGCCGGGCTGTGGGGAAAGAGTGCACTCAGGTCAGGTCTCTGTGTGCCACAGCAAGTACCTCTCCTTCCCACCCCTCCTGGCTGGCTGTCTTCTGGAGAGCCAGGGAACCCAGCGGGAGAGATTCCTTTTACTCCTCAACCTCGAATTGGGAGACCTGGGTTCTAGTTCCAGTTGGACTACACACCCGTGGTGTGACCTCAGGTCCTGGGCAACTTGCCCTCAGGTAAGAGACTCCTTGGTTGTTCATTTCCCTACTTCCATTTGCAGGAAGGAGCAGAAACCTTAGGCCAATTTGCCCCATTTTTGCAGACTAGGAATTGAAATAGCAGAGCAGGTAAGACATTAAAACAACAGCAGCAATAAAACTCCCTGTTTTTGAACATCTATTACATGTAGACAATTTTTAAGGGTTGTTTCTAGAACCTGGGTTCCATTCCCAACAACTTATAGCAATCCTGCAGAGCAGGCATTGTCTCCCCTTATAGGTTATGCTCAGAGAGGGCCCTTGACTTGCCGAGTTCACAGTGAGTAGGTACATAGAGTCAGGTTTCAAACTCAGTTCTGAGACTCAGAAACCCACACTCTTCCCATGAAGCCATGTGGCCTATTTCTCTGTACAAGGACCAGCCTTTCCCCCATCTCTGCCACCTGGCTCTGAGAACTGTGGCTGAAGCTCATGGTCTTCTTGACTCCATCTTATTGTGGGGACTGGCCTCTTGAGACTTAGACTCTGGAGCAAAGGAAGATTACATCATTTTTTTTTCTCTTTTCTTTGTCCTTCCCAGTGTTTGGGAAAGGGAAAAAAAACTCTCTGCAGTTACCCTGGTAACAGTGGTGGAGGGGATGATGCTGAGAATGGGGTGAATGTAGTGGTCCTAGACTTGTTTGTGGTGAGTGTGCTATGGAGGAGGAGATGGGTGGTGGTAGCATTGATGATGGTGTGAAGGTAGAGGTGGTAGTGAAGGACACGGTGGTGACAATGATGGAGGTGATGGTGGTGGTCACAGTAATGACAGTGCTGATAAGGTGGTAATGACAGTTGCAGTGATACTGTCATCATAGGTCCAAAACTTCTGTTCGCAAAGGTACCAAGTTTGGCCTGAGATCACTCACCTGCACTCCTCCTTGAGGTTCCACGCGCGACAGAGTAGACGACACCTTCATCTTCCTCTTCCTGGTGATGCACTGGAGAAGGAATGAGGCTGAAAGAGGATCCACCTGACTCTCCCACCTCATGCCACAAGTGTCCTGAAGACATGGAGAGAAGCCCACTGGGACTCTGTCATGGTGATAAGTGGCAATGGGTTTGGTCACTAACGTGGGGGCAGCCATTATGGCAGGAGGAGTCTGGACCCCTTAGCAATTTTTTGCAGCTTCCCTAGCCCTGATATGGTTTAAACCAGAGGTCGACCAACTTTTTCTGTCAAAAAGGCAGTAAATATTTTTGGCTTTGTGAGTTGTATAGTCTCTGTCACAATGATTCAACTCTGCAGTATGAAAGCTCTCATACAAAATAAACAAATGAGCATGACTGTGTTATAGTAAAACTTTATCTACAAAAATAGGCAGTGTGCTGGGTTTGGACCATGGGCCATAAGTTTGCCAACCCTTGGTCCAAACCTTCCCTGCCTCGTCTCCTGCAGCCTTGGCTCCCTTCCCACCTCCTTCTCTCACCACCAGCTCCACAGCACTCCCTCATCATCCCCTCCCTAGAAGCTGTTTGTTTTCCTTCCCCAGATGCCTCCAATTCCTGAGACACAGTGCTCAGGAATTGGAGTCATCTGGGGAGAGCTTCCTTCTTCTTACCGCCCTTAAGAAGCTCTTCTTGGCCCACATGGGCAGAGCACCATCCTGCTGGAAGTCCTTACCATTGGCATATAGTGGGCACTGCTCTCCACCTGGAGCTATGGGTGGTAACTGGGATGGAAGGTTTCCTAGGAGATATAAAGGCACAATTCACTGGGCATCCCTTAGAAGGCAGGTGGGACAGGGGACAGGAAAGCTGTGAGCAAGAATGGCAGAGAGGACACTGGGAGTTTGAGGCTGGTTTGATTAGAAGGGCTGATTCACAGGTCTGGACATGGTTGGTTTTTACGGGATGTTTCCTTTAAAAAATACCCTAGATGGCTCCTTGGGAATCACAAACTAGGAGGAAGTAAGATCAGCAAGAATGGATTACATTTTTGCATGGAGAGGGCCTAGGCTTACAGTCAGGCCACTTTTCTGAAGGAAGAAAAAATAATAACTTTGACCATATGCCAGGCAATCCAAATAAAACATAATCTTCCTAGTAAAGCACCTACCAGGGACCAGCACATAGTAGGATTTCAAAAACACCCCGCTTTCTAATTCTTTGGTGTCTAATGTTCTTCACAACCATCTTGCAAAGGTTGATACTTTTATCTCCATTTCATAGATGAGGTGACTGGGGCTGCGAGAGGTGACTTCTTTAAGGTCATGGTAAGTGGTGGAGACAGAATTTTAATCCAGGTTTCACGCCCTTTCTCCATTAGTACACTGCCTCTGAAACAGCAGGTGGTTCCATAACTTTAAAGGTAACTCCTGGGATAGGAATTGGGTCACATGTAGATTTTAGAACACTTGGTTCATGCCTGGTGCCCAAGAAATATTTACTACCCTAACAGCTGGAAAGCATCAGAATCACTGGGTAGAATATGTGGAAATGGCTTCTTCTATAAAATCAAGAGGACATTTATGGACACCTAGACAGATCCCTGATGATTAAGCATTCTCCAATGCTCATTTGTCAGGGCTGAGAAATGAGCCTCAGTTCCTGAGTCTCCATTCAATGAAGAGTTCCATGAGTTTGGCAGACTTTTGTTTTATGCGATGCGTGGCAACAGGTAGTAAAAGGAACAGTTTTAAACAAGCACAGCAGAACCTGTATGTGCAGGTGAGTGCACTTTGAAGTGGACCCCTTGCATGACCATATCCTCGTTCCAGTAACACCACCATTGGTCAAATGTTCTAAAAATTGACTTTGGACATCACATCTGTTGACTGTCTTTGATAGTGGTATATTTCTGTTTGTTGATGAATGGCTATGCTAGCCGGAAATGGTTGTGAGTCTCTTAGAACTGGGTGTGGAGAATAAGGCTATTGATCTGGCTGTTTTTCCTGTGTAGCTATAGATTTGGGTCTGAAAGTGACTTTCTGAGCAATATTCTAAAGAATATTTTGTGTGCCCGACATTCTGAGATATTAAGATCACCACCAGCAGTCCTGTTTGCATGAGGGACAGGCTCCTTGGTAAAATGGAGCCCATCTGCTCAAGATTGGTGGTGATGGTATATAAACTCTACATCAAGAGGAGGCTGTTTTGTTCCCTGTGAAAGGCATCTTCTTCTTGAGGATCTTTCACTAGTGACCACGCTTTCACCATCTTGTCTGGGGCTGGAGAGGGAGACAGCTGTGCCACACTACTCTGCCTTTAATGCTTTGACTCAGAGGTGAGTGGACAGAAACAGAAACTCCTGTGTTACTGAGGCCATTTGGAGGAGGCTTTATTAGACACAATGACATACAACTCATAGATCTTTGGTTTGTGGTTCCCTCCTCCAGCTGCCTCCCCAACAGCTCTGAAACCCACACTCTTCCCATGATGCCACGTGGCCTATTTCTCTGTACAAGGACCAGCCTTTCCCCCATCTCTGCCACCTGACTCTGATAGCTGTGGCTGAAGCTCATGGTCTTCTTGACTCCATCTTATTGTGGAGACTGGCCTGTTTAGACTTAGACTCTGGAGCAAAGGAAGATTGCATCATCTGGAGGAGGTTTTATTAGACACAATGACATAGAACTCACAGATCTTTGGTTTGTGGTTCCCTGCTCCAGCTGCCTCCCCAATAGCTCTGGGCCTCCTCTCCTTTCCCCACTATAAAGGGACACCTTAAAGCAAACCTAGCCTATGTTGAATTCAGACTCAAGACTAGTGAGAAGGGTGAGGCTAGGAAGTTGTATGGACAGAAGACTACAAATTCAAAAGGGGAGAGGAAGTTGAAGTCTGGTCCAAACCCTCACTAGGCGCCTGGTGAGGCGGGGTGTTGGGACTAGGGATGGGGAGAGACCCTTTCAGCCACCCTGGTGAATGCAGGAAGGAATGCTTTGAACATATGACTGGGTGGTCTTCCTTAATTAGCGGGCTGGCCCAGCTCCTGGAAAGTTCATCCCAAATTTCTCAGCAGAGAGAGCTGCAAACTTAAATAAGCAAATAGCTTTGGAGGTCTATGAGAGCAATGACTTTTGTCCTAGACAAGTAGAAAATAAAAACATTGCCCTGCAGAGGAGGAAGTGGGGTTTATTCGAACCTCTGTAGGCGGATTTGAAGCCCTACGAATGAACTGACACCAGATAGCTTTGGCACGGGCAGCCATTCCTTACACGTGGCCTGAGGCGAGCAAAGGTTAGAGTTGGAATAAACGCATGGCCACGCGTGAATGAAAGCCAACATTCATTCTTAATTGTCACGACTGAGACAGGAAGAAGAATAGAGTCTGGAATTTCAAAATAAATAGATAACCTGAAATGTCATTTGTCTGATTGTTTTCCTCCACGTCAGAATTTTAACCAACCTTTTTCTTTTTAGTGACTTTGATTACAAGCGTTAGAGAATGCACAGAGGAGAAAGGGCAGCCTGGGAACCTGCTGGTGTGATCTGCTTAGATTAGAATGAGAATTTACTGAGCATCCACTATGTGCCAGTCTAATACATGAGGTACTAGATAAATGCTCTTCATTAACTTAAACCCTTACAGTATCCCTGAAGAGGAAGCTGATTTAGTGAGTCTTACAGTGAACTGGCGCAAGGCTATGGAACTAAAGGTACTGTTGGGGCCAGGCCGTGGCTCAGTCTTGTTGATCATATTTCCTTTCTGATAGTTAATATCCTTTGCACACTCTGCTACAGTAAAGTACTGTACAACGTGAGTGTGTGAGAGTGAGCCTGTACATATGCACTGCCGTTCTGTCTTCTTTCTCCTCTGCTAAGCAGACAGGAGCTCTGCTGAGCTCAATGAGAGCGAGAGGTGGAGACTTTGGTCTTTTTTTTGTTTGCTTTTCAGTCATATTCCTACCCACAGATTGTCTTTCTAACGTAAAGGACATTGACATGCATCATGCTTGGCTTCTAACAATTCTTCGGTTTATGTTCTGTTCATGCCTGAGTGTGTGGTCATGTTTGCAAGCATCTCTGGATGACTGCGAGCATGTGAGTGAGTGCATGTGTGTGTATGTTTTGGAAGCGTTAACTGTCCTTCCATGTGTCCCTTTGTGTGACACAGGGAGAGAAGTCCCTCCTCCCACCCCGCACCCAGGAGAAGAGAGTGGCTGGTCGTGTCAGACTCTGGCTTTTCAAAGGTTACGCAGGGCCTGGCACAGGGATTCAGCAGCTAAGAAAGCCAGGGAGAGTTGCTGACCAGCTTTTCTCCAGGGTCTCAAATAAACCAGAAGTGCAGCAGCAATGACCATCATGCCAAGCAGGCTCGCAGGCAGCCAAGGAACCAGCCAGTTGCTGCCGGTGGGAGTAGACAAGGCTTGAGAACCTGGGAGTGGGGAGAGGAAGGTGGCCATGAGCACTAAGGATAAAATTCAGAAATGCATTGCAGCCTGGCACAGGAGGCAGAATGACTGGTACTGGGGGAGCCGTCTGGCCTGGAGGAGCCTTGTAGAGGGGCGTGAGGGACGGCTCAGGAGATGCCAGCAAGGATGACGGCGACACCGTGAGCGACCACATGGCTGCTCCTCCCACGATGCTCCCCACTCTCCATGGACTTCAGTATTTCCCTGCCAGGCTCAGTGGACAGATGGACCAATTAGGGTCCACGCTTGGTCATGCAGTGGCTACCATGGGTCCAGCACTGTGCCAGGTATGGTGGGAGGTACACAGAGGGTGAGATCTGAACCCTGTCAGCTTGCTGGGGCTCAAAGCTCTGGTGGAGGACAAAACGCACCCTTCAGAGAGAGCTTCTTGGGCTCACTCCTCTCTCTGGAGACGCTGTTCTCAGCCTCGCAGGAGTAGTTCCCACCATCGTGCTCTGACTTCACCGGGAAGAGCAGGGAGGTGATTCCACCACAGGGAGCTGAGTGGTTCCCTACAATCTTCTCATCAAGGTAGAATGAATACCGGATCGGAGGGGAGCCCCTCTGGGCCTCGCAGAGGAGCTGCACCACGTCCCCCACAGCAGGGTCAGTGGGCCCATGGTGCAAAGTGAGCGCAGGGTGGGACACAGGAGCTGGGACACATATGGGGTGGGAGGCTCAGCCTGACCACCCAGGACTTGGCTTCCTCCTTTCCCAGGGACCCTTCTCCCAACTCCCTTCCTCCCAGGGGGTCCCACTGCCCCATGCCCAGACCCCTGGGGGCGTCTCCCCGCCCTCATGTACTTACCCTGCACTCTGACCTCCAGCTGGGGGCTCTGCTTCTGGACCTGGCCACCCTCAGGGGCCGCCTCACACCAGTAAAGCCCAGAGTCTCCCCCCTTGACTCCTGGGATGTAGAGTTCTGGGTGGGGGCCCCTGTCCTGCAAGATGCGGCCACCTTTGTGGAAGGAGAAGAGGAGCCTCGAGGCTGACCTCAGGGGGTACAGCTTTGTCTGACATCTCAGGGTCACCAGGCTCCCCTCTCGGGGCTCAGGAGAGGGGATGGCACGCAGCACAGGAGGTGGGAAAAGTTCTGGGGAGACGCAGGCCCAGGGCTCAGGAGGCAAGTCCAGGGTGATGAAGCCCAGGAGGCTGAGGCCTGAGCTTCTACTCATCCCATGCTGCAGCCTGGGGACCCTGATGGGAGGCAGTTTCATCCCCAGGATCTGTCCTTTTGTCCTCACCCACAAGCTCTGAAATGACTCCCTCACAGCCAGTGGGGGCCTTCGAGGTCCTCCAGTCCACAGAGGGGAAGGGTGAGCCTGGACTTGTCCATCCTCTTCCCAGCACCCCCTCCCAGGGACCTCCCTGTTCCTTCCCCTGGTTCCAGATGTGTCCCATGGTGGGGAGGGGGACATTCATACAACATCTTGGGAAACCTCAGGACCCCACACATTGGCCCAGCATGAGGGGCAGCCAGAGACAGGGGTCCTTCCCAGAGAGCTACTGACCTCTAGAGACAGGACCCCTGAGTGGCACCTTCTGCCCCACAAACTCCCAAGCTGGTGGCTCACCTTGGACTTGAACCATGGCAGCCTCTGAAGTTTGTGTGAACGGCTGTGAAATATACATCACCTGCCCCGTGCAGTGGTACTGGCCACAGCTCTGCACTGTTGCTGCTCCCATGGACAGAGTCTGCTTCCCCTTAGAGAAACGAAGGACTTTCCCATCTTTGTAGAACTTCACCTGAGACAGTGATACATTCTTCCGTCCCTGACATCGCAGAGTCAGGGCATCTCCTTCAAACACAGGGTTTGGCCAGGCTTCGAGGTACAGCCAGTCTGTGAGACACAGAAACAGGGAAACCCTGGAGCAGCAGGTCCCATGGGTCACTTCTCTCCCTCTGTCCCCCAGCTTAAGGCCTCTGCTGGGGATGCAGGCCCTTGGAAGGCACCAGTGCAGTGTCTCTGTCTCCAGTCCTTCATGCCGGCCAGGGCAGGGCAGGACCTGGACTTCCTTCCTTCCCTCTCCCTCCTTTCCTTCTTTCCTTCCCCTTCCCTCTTTCTCTTTATTCCTTTCCCCTCCCCTCCATTCTCTCCTCTCCCTGTGTCTTCTCTCTGGCTTTCTTACTACCCACCCTCCTTGTCTTCTTTATATTGCACTTCCCTGTCTGCCTTGGCAAGCTTGGCTTAATTGCATTCATCCTGTTCATTGTCTTGCCTCATTCCTTCTGACTCAATTCCCTCCAGCCTGGACTAACTTCTCATCCTCTGGCTACCTAGTGTGACACTTTCTTCAGCCTTCACTTCTGATAACAGTGGCATCTTTGTCCACCAGAAAGCAGGTGGTAGTGTTGGAGGTGCCACAGCCTTAGCTGTCTCCTTTCTGCTTTCCTCATTGGGTTTTCCGAGGCCCAGCCTCCATCTCCCCATTCAGCAGGGTTTCAGCTTCCACCACTGTCATGGAAGGGATCCGTTCTCTCTGTCACTATTCCTAAAATGTATTCTATGCCCTGATGTGAGCAGAAGAGCGTCCAGGGCTCCACCATCACCTGCAGGGCAGCAGCAGCAGCATTGCCTGCAGGGCAGGCTGAGCTTGTACCCTGGCTGTAACATCTCTTTGATAAGCCAGACACCCCCATTCCCAGACAGCCTTCTGAGCAGGCCTCATGGCCTGAGAGTAATGAGGAGTAAGCAGTTGCGGAGCCCCAGCACATCCTGCTCTTGCCTGGATCTTCTGGATCCTTAGGACCCACTCTCCTCACCCTGGAAGTAATGATGCCCACTGCATTACTAAATGGTAAGCCTTGCTCCCACAGCTGCTTTTTCTAGCAGCACTAAGTGTTGGTTTGAATTCTCTCCCCCTGCAGTCACAGAACATATCCTTGGAGGTCAAGATTTCATAGATGAGAATTTTTCCTATTTGACAGAAAGCTCCATGGAGGTCAGTGGGACAGAATGGCATGGAAGGAAGGGGATCCGAGGAAGGAAGGAAGACTGATCAGCAGACAAAGGTGCCTGCTTCTCTGAACATAAAAGGAAGGCACGGAGTCCCGGTATTGTTGAGTTGAGAATATAGGAGCTCCAGATCCACATGGAGAGAAGACAGAGGCTATAGTCAGTTTTATGGAAATAGAATAGAGGCCTAGAACTCCCCTGATGAGGCTTGGGTCACCCTAGGACTACCCTTGGCCTTAGACTAGTGGAGTTCCAGGTGTCTCCTCTTCCTGGGAACAGACCAAGATCCCTGAGGAAGAGGCCTAGTCTGGTGCGGCTCTGCAGATGTTGCTGGGTGACCCCAGGGCACTGTCCTGTTCCCATCCAGTAAGTTTTGGCCCATAGACATACTTTGAGCTAAAAGAGGCATGGACAAAACTTACCAGTTTTCCCAATACAGGGAACTGCAAGAGAACAAAGTAACACAACTAGGTTAAGTAGCAAAAACAACTTTCTGACAGGGAGGCCTGTTACTTCAGCAATAGGGACTTACACCCGTTCAACCAATGACCCAAACATCCAACCACCCAGCCACCAAACCACCCACCCACCCATCCACACAATCTTCTAACTATCCATTCATATAGCCACTCAACCACCAAGCATCGCAGCCATCAACCATCCAACTGTCCAACTACACAGCCACCCAACCACTTAGCCATCTAGACATCCCAGCAACCAATCACCCAACCATTCAACCATCCAACCACTTACCCACCCAGCCACCTAGCCATCCCATCATCCAACCACCCAACCACCCAGCCACCCAGCCACTTGACCACTCAACGTCTACGGTAGATCTCCCTAGAACTCTTTGCCCTATCTAGATTAAATGCTGCCTTCTCAAACAGATCTTCCCTGGGATCCCAATCAAAAGAATTTTTCCCAATCACTAAAATGATGCCCTGTTATATTATCATCAAAGCACTTATCACTATTTGAATTTATCTTATTCCTTAAATTGCCTATATGTTATTCCCTGTCTCTCTGTCTGGAATGTAAACCCCATAGTAGTGGCGACTCTGCCTATCTTACTCATTGCCATATTTTCTATGCCTAGGACCTGTGCCTGGAATATCGTCTGTGTTCAGTAAGCATCTGCTGAATAAATGCATGAATGCTTTTTGAATCCAGTTGTATGGGGTGGGAAGCAAAAAGTAGAAAACACAGGACTAGACTCTTGCACAAATGTGCCTGAGGGTCCTACCGCCAACATCTACAGGAGAGCCCATACAGTAAGGGCAGGAGCTGATTCTTGTGGTCTTATCTGTCCACAGAGCTCTGGTGAAAAGAGTATGGAAATGATCAGACTGAGGAGGCAAATTTCCCTGAAAGAGTAATCACTAAAGATTTAAGACGTTGTCAGGCAGCATGGACAAATGAGAGAACTACAGACAAATCAGATGCATCCCACAACATGCTTGCATCTTGTGTGTGCGGCATTTATGCTTTTAAATGAGCGAATGTGTGAGGAGAATAGGTGGCCTGGGAAGAGAGGCCAGCTCACAAAATGATGACAGATATGGCTTAGATAGGTTTGAATAGCCCAAGCAATGGAAGACCCTAAATTGAAAGGCATAGTTGGATATGAAGCAGTGAAGAATATTCTGGACTTTGGGGCAAGGGGCAAAACAATGAATGAATGTAGGGCTGAGTGCAGTGAGTCCAGCCAATCCTCATACATTTACGTGTGTCCTTCATTGCTGACACGTCCTAGGTATTTTGCATAACACAAAAAAATGCAAGATTGGCTTTGGGAGGGGTGGGTGAAAACCCTCCAAGAGCGGATGTTTGGCTGTGTCACATGGTGTCATCTTTACTTTCTACACTGCTTTGGACACAGATGGAATCTTTCAGCTCAATTCTCTATTCAGCTCAGGGTCAGCTCAGTCATAAGTCCTCAAGAGTGTACAGAACAATGAGTCTTTTCCTTATCATCCCTCCATCTCCACCTTTAACCCCCATCTATGAGCTTGGTGTAGTGGAAAGCATGCAGAATTTGGAATCAGATGACCTGGACTTGAGTCATGAATTTCCCTCTTTCTGTATGACCTTGAACAAGTTGTCTAAATTCCAGAGCCTTCAATATCTCATTCTGTCATATCACATGATAGAAATGATAATAGTCATTCTTTTTTTTACAGTGTAGTTGTGAAGGTTATATTGGCTCACTGCCTGGGAAAGTGGTTACTACATTAACTGAAAGCAGAAAGAAGGCCTGACCCCAGAGTGACGGAGACCTTACTCTGTAGTTATGTCTTCTTTCCCTTCCCCTCCTCACTGGAAAACAATTTTGCAGCTACAAAGTGCTAAACTAACAGGGTTGAGGCTACCGAAACCAGAAACAAGAGAGAAGGCATTCAGGAAGCATAGATGCACATAAAATGAGCTCATGCCCGCAAATCCCAATGACTTGCTGCTCATGATACTGCAAGATCTTGGAGGCGGGGTTACAAAATTGCCTCCTGTAATCAAAACAAGCAGCCAACTGGGGACATACACAGTGGGTGACACCTGCTCACAGCAGTTCCTGCAATGAGGGCTGGGGACCTCCGTTAGCTATATGCTGAAGATGAGGTGACGGTGTGTTGAGGTGGTCAAGAGTTATTGTCAAACCAAGTTGTATTATAGAGTTCTGAATAATGAAGGCAGCAGCCTCCCCCCGCCCTACCAACTCTAGGAGCAGGATAATTTCCTCTTAGAGATGCTGGAAGATTGAGAGATATTTATCTGGGAAGCATGCAACAGAGGAGGTACCCAAAATACTTGGTGGGCTAATCTTAAAAGAAGGGAGAGACTTATTCTGAGTCACTTTATAGGACAGAAATGGAAACTAGAGGGATCAGGGAGGCAGCTTTGAGCTCAACAGGGAGAACTATCTCACCACTGAGATCTACCACTGTGGGACATGCTGCTGTGCCAAGCTGCAGCAGCCACATTGCTGGGAGGGTTGTATGGGACCCCGTGACACACCTCCTGTGGCTGCTGTGTGAATACGCAGGGGCAGGCTCCAGTGGTAGGACGGAAGTTGTCTAATGTTCAGCTCAGAAGAAAATTAAGGCTACTTTCCCAAATGTTAAATACATATTTAGAATTCAGCCAGGTTCCAGCATGTTTAGTGTCAGGGTTCCTAGCCTCCTGGAGCCCTGACAGCCAATAATAGTAATAGCCACCAACTTATTGTGACCACATCCTGCTCTAGAGAGCAGAAATAGCAGCTCTACACTTACAGTATGCTAATGTTCCTACACACCCAGCCCCAGGGCCTGTGTTTTAGGCTGTTTTTCCGGGGTCCCTGAGCATCAAGTGGAACCACATTTGCTGGTTCTGGGTTCTCCATTACACGGTGCACCAGCCAGCTGGTCACTGACTCCATTCTCTCCTCCTTTGCTGTCTGTCATCCCTGTCCTGGGTTCCAAGCTGGAATACTTGCAGGCTGTATCTAGATGAATTTGCAGGGTAGTGCCAATTGTCCCTGGGAGTCTTTTGCCTGGCGTATGTCCAGGCACTAGGCCATCCGGTCCCTGCCTCAGCGTGAGCATTAGACCTTTTCATTTGTCCAAATGCCCATCCATAGAACAAACAGCGTAGCTTGCTATGCTGGAGAAGGAACATTGAGTGCACAGGCATTTTCCTCACAGGGTCAAATTCTCAAAAAGTCTGTTTAGGAAGAGGTTATATTTAGTTCAATGAAAATAAACAGCAAACAAGCCATTAGGATCAAGAATTAAACAAAAAATATGTCCACTTGGAAACTATAAAGTGAAACAAAATATATGTGCAAATTATTTCTTTTAGGTATAAGGGAGGTGACACTGGCTGAGACTGAGCTGGGTCTGGGGGAGCGCAGTGACCCTCCCGTGCAGTCCTCTACCCTTAGACCAGTTCCCTCAGTTACAAGTAACCTGCATGAGGAGAAATGAAGAGAAGAGAGACCTGGCTAGGATAACGGATTTGATTCTTCAAACCAGTCCATGGATCTGAAACAGCTCCCAACAGAGAGAAGATGTAGGCAGAAGAGAGACCATCAATTTGAAAAGGTCTTTGGTTACTCAGAGCACAGGCCTTTCAACCAGGTGAGAAGTCTGGCCATTGTTAACTGGTTCTAAGAAAACGCAGAGGCTCCGTAAAAATATGTCACCCTGTAGAATTCCACCTCCCATTGCTAAGCAAAATGCTAGGGACTGTTTTCCCTCATTTCCCTGACCCTGCCCTGTTGCCCCCAGCAGCCTCCTTCCCTTCTGTAACCTCAATTTCTTTTTAAGGCAGCTCTGATGAGTATTTTAACCCGACGTCATAAGGTAGAAACATCATTGGGATGTAAGAGGGCCCTGTATTGTGTTTTTCTGTGTCCCTAATTTATCTCTGACACATCGAAGGTCTGCCCTGCCAAGAACCCAGGACAATTGAACAGGAAACACTGAGGAGACCCTCTTATCCCAGTGCCCATCTCTCTCAAGCATGCCCAGGTGCACCCACCTGTCTTGAGCTCCAGCCACAAACCCACCGGAGTTGGGAAAGGGATGATGAGAAACTTGGTGTCTCAGGGATGACTTATAATCCTTAGTGCTCTGGGAGGGGATGTCCATGCTCAGTGACTTACCGAAGAGCAGCACAGCCATCCAGAGCAGCATGGGGCCTGTCCCGGCACAGAGGAGGGAACACAGGTCAGATTCAGGCAGGGGCAAAGCTGGCAGAGAGCAACCAGGCCTCAGGCCCGAAGGTTGGGTGGGTCACCTGAGCTGGGTGGTGCTACAGCTTGATAGTTGAAAAGGAAGTGGGAAAGAAACTTAAAAAGCTCTAATTGGTGTTTCCTCTTTGGTTGAAGAAGTATTACATGAATACATTTTCTTGAACCTGAAGCACGAAGGAATTGGTAAATCACTAATAAATCCCTGACATTTTCTGTGGCTTCATCAAGCCCATGCCAGGGAACCGGGATGGACCATGGCTATGGGACACCTCCATTAGAAAGATCCAGAGTCTGCCCGAATGTGCCTGGCCTCAGCATCGTTCAGCCTGGGAGACAGCGCACTACTAGAAAACTAAGCTCATCTACCCCGAGTGACCTCCCAGCTTCGGAGGCCCTCATGTCTCCAGAGGCAGATGTGTGTGGATGCTGCAATGGGATGGGGAAGTGGAGCTCTGAGGATGGTTCACAGGATCCTCAGTTCAAGAGGGAATCAGGCATCGATGGGTCCAGAGCAGAGCACAGATGGAGCTTCAGAATCTGAGGCTTTTAAGACAGGCAGGTGTTATTTTGAGAAGAACTCTTCCTTAAAGGACACCATTAAGAGAGGGACTAGGTGAGCTGTGGTGTGATGAGATAGCTTAAATATATGTGGCAACAAAGAGCCTGTATATGAAATAGAATTTCTGCAAGTCAGTAAAAAAACACAGACAACATACTAGAAAAATGGACAAAAATAACTGGATAGGTACTTCACAGAAGCAGACATCCACATGTCAAATAAACGTAGCAAAAGGAGCTTGACATCATAAATTACCATGGAAATGCAAATTTAAACCACAATGAGATACCATCACACCTTCCATAAGAATAAGGGAGTGATACCCGCTGAGACTGAGCTGGGTGGGGGGAACCCAGCCACCCTCCCCATGCAATCCTTTACCGTGTATTGGTGAGGATGTGAAGAAATTAGAACTCTTGTGCACTACTAGTGTGACTATAGATTGGTGCACTCACTAGAAAATGGCCTGGCAGAAACTACCAAGACTAATCACAGGGATCCCTGATGGCTCAGCATTTTCACTCCTGGGTACATGTTGAACAGAAATGTATACATATGGGCATCCAAAAACGTGTATAAGAGTGCTCACAGCAGCATCATTTGTAATAGATACAAACTGGAAATTATTCAACGGTCACTCAACAGAGAAAGAGGTCACACATTCCCATCTCCTCTGTGGACAGATGGGAGAATTTAAGGTGAAGCAGAGTCAGGCAAACTACTAGGGAGCATTTTCTTTTTCTTTTTTGAGGAGTCTCGTTTTGTTGCCCAGACTGGCATGTAATTTTGGCTCACCGCGACCTCCGCCTCCCGAGTTCAAGCGATTTTCCTGCCTCAGCCTCCCAAGTAGCTGGGATTACAGGTGCGCACCACCATGCCCGGCTAAGTAAGCATTTTCTGACAGTAAAGCTCTTCCTGGAAATCTTTAAGTGAGAAGAACTTCTGCCCAGCCTGATAGAGTTTGATGTGCTTATTGCTGAGGCCAGGAATAGAGAGAGAGAATTTTCTAAGTTTTCTTGCCCTAGGTTCTCTGACTCAGTGGAAGTGGGAAATTAATTTGACAGTGCCAGGCATTTTTTTTTTTTTTTTTTGCTGACTCAATTGCTTAGGAAAGAGGTAAAAGGAGTGAGGAAGTAGAGTAGGAAGTGGATCTCTTGTCCAGTCACCTGAAGATGGCAACATTCAAACATTTTCCTGTATCGTTCTCTTTCCGACAGATCTCCTGAGTTGCCTCCAGCTTCATTCAGCTGCAGGTCCTGTGGGTATGTGGAGGCCCTGCAGAGTAGCAGCTGGGGCAGAGAGACAGAGGGGACAACCGCAAGTGGTCTAGCTTGCAAACGCTTGTGGTTTGCACACAGAATGGTTGAAGCCCTGGCCCTGGCAACTTCTGCTTTCACTGGGTTCCAGCAGCATGAGAGTGTGAACTGCAGCCCGACTTCTCGCACTTCCCCTGCAGAGTGAGATGCTGCTGCATCACCTTCAGAGGTGTTGGTGAAACGGGCTCTCTGAGCTGAGCTGGCTGCACGTCATTCCCTTGGGGATGAAGGTGACCCTAGAAGAACAGCAACAGGGCTGCTGCGCAGGTTAGGAATCTTCCAGGATTCAGGCTGACCTTGAACTGAGAATGGGATGGGTTAGGGGAGATGGGAAAACCCATGATACTAACACTAATACTCTAAGGGAATTGAGGGGCTAACAGAAGGTGGGAGAAAAATAGAGTGCGGATCCTCATCTAGAAGATGCTCCAGGCCTCGTTGCCCTCATCACTTAGAGTCAGTTGTCAGGACGGCAGTAGTCAGGGACAGTGGCCACTGGGGAATAGGATAAGCCAGTGCAGCTCCTGGAGGCGAGAGGGGAGAGCAGGAGAGCTTGGGGTAGCAGACAGCTCTGCATGATTGACAGGCCCTGAAGCCAAACATCTGAGCTTGGATCCTCACCCTGGATCCGAACATAGTGAGAGACCTTGGCTAACTTGTTTATCCAGTCTGTGTCTCAGGGTCCTGATCCCCAAAGTGGATAAATAACTATACCTGCATCATAGGGTTGTTTTAATCTTGTTAAACAAGATTAAAAACATGCAATGCGCTCAGACAGCAAGGTCTAATAGAACTTTCAGTGATGAAAATGTTCTCTGGGCTGTCCAGTTCAGTAGCTGCATAGAGCTATGAAGCACTTGAAATTGACTCGTGAGATGGAGAAACTGAAGTTTTAATTGTGTTTATTTTAGTTGAAATAAAAAAAATTTAAACAGCTACATGTGACAAGTGTCTGCCTTCTTGGATCCTGTAGGCTTAAGCCAATGCCTGGCCAGCAGGAAGTGCCTGGTGAAGGTGTAAGAAGTGTGGGTCAGGAAGCCTTGGACGACCACAGCCCTCCTCCCAACCTTAGTGTTTTGGTGAGGCCTAGAAAGATGAAGTAATTTGTGCAAATGCACTTAGCCAGAAAGCCAGCTGGGGTTGGAATCTCATTCTTAGATAGAACTGCAGGCCCAAGAAGAAACCTGAGACCATTTCTGAGTTAGGTCTGAAAGGCAGAACACATTGGAGAAACATCTCAAAAGCCTAAAACTTAGGACAAGAGTGGAAATGACGAGGAGTAGGGTGAAGATGGAGCCAGACTAGTCATGAAGCCCTGGGTCTGGCCTACAGAGGGCAGAAAATGCTATGGGGCATCTGGTTACCACCCTCATTCCCTCTCTCCATCCTAACCCCTTTCTCCCTGAAAGCTACTGGAGAGAGCATGGCAGCACCAATGGAAAAAATTCATCTGCATTGGGTCTGCAGCGACCTTTTGTGGCTACATGAACACCACTTGCCCTAAGGAAGGACTCTTTATTCATATTGAACTATTATTCTCTAGCCATCCATCCAGCCACCCACTCACCCATCCACCCATCCATCCACCCTCCATCCATCTATCCACCCAGCCACCCAGCCACCCACTCACCCATCCACCCATCCACCCATCCACGCATCGATCCATCCATCCATCCATCCATCCATCCATCCATCCATCCATCCACCCAGCCACCCAGCCACCCATCCATCCATCCATCCATCCATCCACCCACCCAGCCACTGATCCACCCATCCATCCACCCAGCCACCCAGCCACCCATCCACCCATCCACCCATCCATCCATCCACCCACCCAGCCACCCATCCACCCACCCACCCATCCATCCATCCATCCATCTATCCACCCAGCCACCCAGCCACCCAGTCACCCATCCACCCATCCATCCACCCTCCATCCACCCACCCATCCATCCATCCATCCGTCCATCCATCTGGGTATTTTTATTTCTCTTTAGCCCTTGCGGTTTTCCCAGTCCATCCCTGCCTCCATGAGTTCAGGAAGTGACAGGCATATACTTGGGTATAGTTTTTGTGCTTCCTAAAGCATTTTCCCCCATGTCACCGTTATT